GTCTGTGAAATAAGCTTTTTAGAGTGGTTGTCCCATCGGACAACCATTTAAATTTTTTTGGTTGCCCCCATCCACTTTTGGTTGCCCAAATAAACCGAAGAAAAATAACACAAAACTTCCAAGATCCCTTTTTATTTCAGCGGGGTGAAGGCTAACATGCGCTGTGTAGCTTTAAACAGATTAACTTATGCAAAACAGATGATGAGCAGTTTAATGTTAAAGAACCTCAACAGCAACAATGCAGCATTTGGTTACGTCTTCCTTCCCACAAACAATTATTTTAAGAACATCTATACATCATCATACATATTGTACAAACACTAAAATATTTTCTAGTAAAAGAAGGCATTCCAGGTCAAGATTTGAAGACAAGCCAAAATCATAAATGAAGAATATTTTTCAATATATTTACTGCTAGCTAAGTGTAATAGCATTCTCCATTTCTCTGCCTCTTAGTCTATTAACNCCAGTCTGTAAAATAAGCTTTTTAGAGTGGTTGTCCCATTGGACAACCATTTAAATTTTTTTGGTTGCCCCCATCCACTTTTGGTTGCCCAAATAAACCGAAGAAAAATAACACAAAACTTCCAAGATCCCTTTTTATTTCAGTGGGGTGAAGGCTAACATGCCCTGTGTAGCTTTAAACAGATTAACTTATGCAAATAAACAGATGATGAGCAGTTTAATGTTAAAGAACCTCAACAGCAACAATGCAGCATTTGGTTACGTCTTCCTTCCCACAAACAATTATTTTAAGAACATCTATACATCATCATACATATTGTACAAACACTAAAATATTTTCTAGTAAAAGAAGGCATTCCAGGTCAAGATTTGAAGACAAGCCAAAATCATAAATGAAGAATATTTTTCAATATATTTACTGCTAGCTAAGTGTAATAGCATTCTCCATTTCTCTGCCTCTTAGTCTATTAACTTAGTTTCAAATGTGGACACATTAATTTATTATATGTACAATTATCATAATAAACAATTAAAATGCTGCATTTTCTGCCATCTCCATCTCACATTCATCTTCACCATTGTAATAATGATATAGGAAGTAAAAGACATGTTGGACAGCATGGACAGACAGGGTGATCAGAATATAGAGTGTCTGCATATAAAAAGGAATGTCACTGTTTTAAACATAATGAAATGTCTGGTTCTGACTAGTCTCTGAAGGACAAAAAAATATAATAATAATAAATAAATAAAAACACTGTGATTTCTTCCATCTTCATAGCTCTCATCTACTTCATCAAATTCATCTTCATCATTCCCCATTGAAGAAACCAAAGAATCTGTAACTACCTCCTGCTAGAAAAGACAAGTAAATAATTCAATACAAAATATCATACAGTACCATAAAAATGAAAAAAAAATAAATGGAAGACTAATTCTAGAAAAAGTGCTTGTCTAAAAACAAATCAATCGTCATCAGAATTTCAATTTTATCTTTTATTAAAAAGAAGTTAAAATACTTAAATGCAGAAAACAAGAACAAGTACAAATTTAAAAAAATCAAAATATTGAAACTTACATTTTCTCATTAAAACTCCTAGATTCTGCCTTCTGCAGCCGATGCAAGCAGTCCGCCGCGACACTTTGATTAGCAGCACTCGTGCCGTCGCTTTGACGTGCGGCTCTGAGGACTTGTGCTTCTTAATGCCATCTTACTGTAGTGAGGTTTTGCCTTGAACGAAAGGTGAAGAATCTCCTTGACAGCATGCTTTGCACGCTGAGCTATGCTGTCAAAAACAAGTCAAGTGCGCCGTGACAGTAGAAATCCTCTTCGGCGTATATCTGTTTAACTTCGTATAATTTCTTTTTCTTTGACATTTCTGGCTCAGCTGTTTGTTAGGGTAACCTTTATCCGGGGTTTGCACCGTCAAAATATTTCAGAAACTTCTCCATGACGAAAGTTGGATAGAGAAACACGCGGTAGATAGAAGTGCCATAATTTTGAAGTAATGTCGGCCATTGTTTCATTTCGACCAATGAAAAAGCGGCAAACATGACACCCCCCTCCCCACTCCCCAGGCATTACGTCATCTTCCTGTCTAAACGACCAGCTACTGGCAGTGCTATAAATAGCTGTAGATCTAATAATAGCAACAGAGATTCTGCACAAACACGGCAAAGTCAACAGGTCGGTTACTGCGACAGTGAATCTTGTGGAAAACATANCACCCGGCCGAACTTGGGTCCAGCTACTTTTTAAAATGGTTGGATCTTCGGTCCAGAAATTAATTTTCTTAAGAGGCAAACACTGCTCACAACCAACAGATTGTCACAACTAATAAATTTACCATTACAGTCTGTCAACTCACCCAGAATTGCACAGAACAGAGATTTACAAGGTGGGAATCTGAACACATCGGTGTGGATGATCTTCCAGCCATTGTCGTCATTATCCAGCTCTTCACCATCCTCATCATCAGTGTTGTAGCGAGCAAAGTCATTCTTCAGTACCCTTGTCTATAAAGGCAGAGAAAAAAAAGAGATAAATATGCACACAATTAGTATAAATTAATAGCTGAAATTTGCTAAGCAGAAGTGACTGCAGATGTCTTATCATATTGAAATCAAAGATGTGAACAGTGCCTTATAATATTATCATCATCATCCTTCGCAGTAACATGTTTAGACCAAAGTTGTTTCTCTCTCATTATTTAAAGAATTTCACTTGTATGCAGTATCATTTGTGATGGTGTCACAGTAAGTTACTCTGCTCTCTATTATCCTAAATCTAAATGCATTTAATTTATATTAATAACATGAGACCTGACTATGATTAAAAACTTTGCTTACCAGAATAATGACCACAAATCCTAACAGGAGGAATACCAGAACCAAACTGTTGATGATGGACAGCCAGTGGATCTAAAAACAATTGACACCAATATGTTATGGCAAGGATTTCACATATCATGCACAGTACAGAAACTAGATTAGTTTCAAATGCATTTTTCTCTTCCCCCTTTTTTTACTCCATGCATTTTGCAGTAACAAAATAAGAATTTCATTTTTTTGTTTCTATTTGAATTTCTCTCTCTCTCTTTCAATTTCAACAAAACCTTAGACTCACCTCCAAGGTTTTAGGGAAGAAGCTCGTCCCTTTCACCAGTTTGTCCCTGTCACTGTACTTCAGCCTGAAATGTAGGGGAGTACGAAGGTAAGAACCACTCACCTAGCTCATTATTTAGGTTTCTAATATTTATATGTGGGGAATGGGAGTAAGAGGAAGGGAGCAGCAAAACAAGACATCTTCTAAGTTGGATGCTAATAAAAGAATAACCCTGAACAACCACAGAGCAGACAATTGAAATATCACCACTAGCCAGCGCTTGATATTGTCATGTACTTACTTAGTTGGATGCCACTTTACGCTGTAAGTGAAGCGTATTTCAAAAGGTGCCACAGCGTCATCTAGATTCACTGGCTCATGCTCTTTGGTAGAGATGTTAGCATATATAATCTGGAAGACAAATAAAAAATCTTTAATGAATTGACTGCGTGAACATTTACGTCAGAGATTTTAAAAGAACTGTAGCAACAAGATACACATTGTCCTCACAGGACCTGGCAACAGAGAACGACAGTCCCTTAAGGACTGAAATGTATATGTGATGTAATTCAAACAGTGGAACATGATTTGTTTCTTTCCCATGGCAAGATGAACATATGAAGAATACTCTGCATTAGATTTCAGTTATGTAAAAAAATTTTTGGCACAGCAAGCCATGTGATGTTTGTCAGTATTTGTTTTATTATTTGTAATGAATGGAATATTCTTCTAATGTAAATAACTAGTACAGCATGTTCATCTACGATAATAATTACACTATATCATACACATGATTCAGTCCAAACTTGTCCCTGTCTCAACTCACCTGGTCTCCATTATACTGGATATTAAAATGAATATTAGTCCACAGCTGTACTTTGTGATTGTGAGGAAGAAAACCTCCCTCTTCTAGGTGACCAAGAAAACCTCTCACTGGAATGTTGTCTGGAATACAAAATGAAATTCTGTTTTGATAGAGTTCAATTAGACACTTTTTTCTTTAGAATGCTTGGTGTTGTCATTAGTTCAATGATGCATGAAAATCAAGAGTAAATATCTTTAATGAAAATAAATTATTTGTCCCAGCTTCTTACACAGTGCAAATAGTTGACTGGATTTTAAGGACAATAATTTGACACAAGTAGGCAATAATTTGGCACAAGTACTCACTTTATATGGAGTTTAACCGTTTAACCTTTGCAGCATCTTGATGTAACCATTGATGAGACTGCAATTTAGTGAAAAAGTCAGAAAATATGATGGCGGGTCTAGAGGACCTCCTATGCCAATGATATTTTTGGCTCCCCAAAAGTCGGAAATATCTAAAAAAATCTCATCCCTGTGTAATTACCAAACTCACCTAGGACAAACTCAAAGTAGTACAGGTCTTCAATGGCCTCTTTGAGCTGAGCCAGGTCAGCCTCTGACAGGGTAGTCTTACACAGCTCCTGGGCAGGAGAGATGTTCTCTGAAATGTGAAAATAAGGGTTGAAAATCAGACAATGTAATTTAATGTATTTCTGGGACTGGCATCTCGCAAGGAATTTTGGCAAAAAATTGATCTATAACCCAAAATTGGTTTAAACTTTTGAAGCATTGTAACTGGGTAGGATTTTTACTCTCAGTGTTGACAATACTTTATGCAAGTGTGTACCACATGCATCTATTGTGGGTCAAATTAATCAATATGCTCACATACTGTACAGATATAATATCACATAGTCTGATAAAAAAATTAGTATTGTACAGATATATTTGTCAGTCTTCTGCAACTACCCTTAAACATTGACCAAATTTAATGTTCTACATTAGTATTTACAAGACCATCACCATCATCATCACCAAAACTTTAGGATCCTTTTTAGTTTTGATGGCCAATGGTGTGTAATTTCTGACAAAATAATTTCTGTATGTATGAATTATTTCTGAAATGTTCATGTCAGCTCGATAGTTACTTCAAATCTGCACCTACTTTTAAATCTGATGTCGTACAGAGACTTAGCCATTCTGTCTCCATCCAACACCTCCCCCAACGACAGGCTTTTATGTTCTATCTGGAAAAGATAATAGGAGAATTAGGATAATTACCCACATATCTCTAATACTTCTCTTTCTTATATGCTTCCCTATGTCAAACAAATTTAATTTCAGTTAATACAGCGCATTCTTCACTTTAATACCAACAGCAAGCTCTGAATTTCTCTTTATTTCTTTCTTTCCCTTTGTTGATGTATTGTATTCAAAGGTTATTTACAGTATATCTATTTCAGAAATATGATTTAACACATTGAGTTTACTGTGCACTTACTGTTTACAGACACACATATTAAAGCACTTCCACATTTTTCCTAATATTTTCTTCCCAATGTCAATGTTAACAAAACAGCTGATTATTTCATGACAACAGAATCACGAACAGTAAGACATGATTATTTAATTCAGAATCTATACCCTTTACATTATCTTATACTTTTTTAAATATTTATCTTTCAGGGGCATGCTTAACAAGATTTTAAAAACAGATTTTAACCTGTTACATAAGGGATTTAAATAACTTTCAAGCATCATTTTTTATGTTTGTGACAAGTTAGTAAACTCCCGAAACAAGGCGGGAAAAAGATTACTAAATAAGCATTTTGGAACTGGAACACAAAATAGAGATATTAACTGACAACTGACATTTGTAATCCATCATCATAATAAATTTATCAAAATCAGCCAAGGTCTTTAATATTTCAGATCAGATATATAAACTGCAGTCCTGGTACATCATGCTATACTTAAACCTTGAAAATTAGTCAGTTCCAACAGGGCTGATACTTTATCAAATATTAATCTATACAAATGCTACTGCCACTTGGGTAGACATGCCTTTTTTAATTGGGTCACTTAAATCTGATATTTGCAGCCAAGAAAAAGATGCTCATTACCAGCTCTATGTATTTTTTTTTTTTGTTGTTGTTCTTTAACAAACCTATGAGGTAAAACTTTCATTTTTCACCTGATGTCAATGGAAAAAAGTTATGTATCATGTCTTTAACTCAATACTTCCTCAATAATGACTGAATTTTGTTATTTAATCCACATCTCTATACAAAACAGTCAGAAAATGTTCCTATAATTAATTAACAGCTACACAAATACACAATATAAAAAAATATCCAGAAACTCCTTGAACAATCACAGCTGCCAACTTGTACACAAAGTTTACCAATCTATATTGAAAAATATCCACATTTATACAATATGTCTCTATCTGTTACAACCTACAATCTGTAAGCCCATTCTCCATTCTAATATATATGAGATACAATGGAGATGAGGGTAGCTAAATGATTCAGGAAAACATGTTGCTTGCTGCATTAATTCCACATGAAATCCACGTGGCACAGTTAGTCTATATTGACTGAACAACGCCTTCTTCATATTTGTATTCAAAGGTTATATATATTACAAAGTGACAGGACCATATTTAAACCCTGAGGGAGAGGGGAGAGGGGAGGGGAAACTCTGGGTCATAAATCACCATCTTCTCATATTTCACACAGATTAAAAACATTTCCCTTTAATTTTGGTCTCTAAATACATGTATTTACTCTGATTAAACAATATGACAAGTGTAATTACTTTCCTTATCCTTCACCTAAGGCTACACATCAAAGAGGACATGTGTCATCTCACCTATTCCCAACTTTTGTCCTAACATATCTGCAAGTGTGTGATTTCCCTACTTCAAATATAACCCATTTATCTGACCTAAGATATATTTCTGCCTGTGCTATTCCCAGAACAAACATACTGAGTTTTAATGTGTGAGACTGAAATCAATTATGATCTGATGTTGTAAGAAATGCTCTAATACAAAAACATGAAATGTTCTTTGTTTATACAGGAGATGTAAACACATCATAATCTACCATAATATAACTATAATATATAATTATAATATTAATTATAATACACAGTGATAATATAAAGACTGGTCTGATACTTACTTTTTGAGGCCTACATACAGGTAGCTGATAGTAGTGGTAAGTCTCATGAGGGTTAAAATATGGTCCTACTTTATTCACATATACTTCTACCTGAAATGTAAGTGAGAGATATTATTAACTATGAGCAAAAAGTTTATTTACTTCAGTGAGAAGCAGGAAATAAAAGCAAAACGCAATAAACAACACACAAGATGAACATTTCTGAATAATTCTTTTTTTTTTACTTTCCTAATTTTTGAGGTGTGGTATGGAAGGGGGTTACATCTACTACTATACCTTTTGCAATACAATATCTAAAGCTACAAACTTTTGAAATATTAAATAACAAACCACACTGCACAAAATATCTTAAAATAAATAGTAACCCTTCTTTAGATTGAGCAAACGTAATGAAAATCCTGTGCAAGTAGAATCGGCAAACGTCAAGGGGGTGACATGGTGGACAACGCGTAATTTCCACCTATCTAATATAAAGGGCGACCGAGAAATAAAAATCTGAAAGCACAGTAACAATGACGATGATACAAGCCTTGATTACAAACTACTTACTTTCGCTCCATCCTTGTATTTTTCTGCCAAACAGGACGAGAGTATTGCCAACACAACAAGTGTCCGATGCACGGCCATCTTGGCGACTCTGTCCTCTATCCAATGAGATAACGCGAGATTGAAAATACTTTTGACAGCATATCATTTTACATTATAAAAATATTCTGAAAGAATCAATTAATTTTTAAATAAGTGTTTTGATGACAATATTTTACAAAATCATTTTATTTAAATGACAGCGACCTTGGCACTACTTTTATTTGAATGTTATGCCGCGCTGTAATTTCTGTAAAACACACTGCCCTTTCTAAAAATGATAATGAAATAGTGTATTCTAAGAATACGTACATACAAATAATAATTAATCATATATTATAGATGCTCTCAGAACAAATGATTTATATGTGCACTTGATTTGTGCGCATTAACATCCGTTTTCCATCCTTAGGTGTTGTCAGGCACCACTCAGTTTCTTCTTTGCATAAAATGAGATTCTCCTTTCAACTTTTTTATGGACGAAAATGACAAAACAACATCAGTAGCATATTCAGCCGAATATACAGAAGAGCGAAAAAGTAACAGCAGATCTTAAACTGTCTGTGAAAGAAAAGGTGAGCATATGTTAGAAATGTTTGAAAACTTCGTCTGCACAACCATTGGGCATTCGCTGCTATTTCATTACGTTTGCATTGGTCAAATGACGGATTATTTCGAAGTATCTCCACTGAAAAATATTTGTAATTGATCTGGTGCACCCAGAAAATGTTCAAATTTCTGTTGTCACACTGTCTTTTTTAATGGTCATTTATTAAGAGACATGGCCATTATAATAATACAACACTGTTCTTCTAAAGAAGAGTTAGTGTTGCATTAGCACTCCCATTCAAGCTTTCTGACATGTACTACATGTAACAACATGTGGAAGACGACACATGAAATATATATTGTGAAATATGGTGTGATAAAAATTCATACCAAGTTACAAACTGGCTTGCAAGCTGCAATACAGAATTGGGTATACAGGAAGTTGTTGGCCCTCATGATAAATTGAAAGTTTGTTTCTGGGCAGCTGAATTGTAGTGCTAACTGAAGTGCAAATTAAAAATCCACCAACTGGCTTATGTGATAGCAATGCCATTTAGAAAACTACTAAAAAAAGGAGACTAATCCACTCCTTTTTATGAAGATATAGGTCTACTTTTACAAGTTCAGCTTCATAAATCACTTCTTTAAATTATATATTAATTTTATAGTGTTCTCAGCCTTACTCTATGCCAGAATACATTTTAATGTACATGGGGAAGATGTCAACCAAATCAAAATGTTGAACAAAATCAAGAATGGATTTGGTGAACATGGCAAAATATTTTAAAATATATTAAATTTTCATTCACTTAAGAAAGTGTTTAACACATGGCTATAGAATAAAATAAATAATACACTTAAAGGCATAGAGGTATGGAAGCAACGTTCAATTTTTATTTAATATTTTCTGAACTACTTTTTTATAGGAAACAACTAAGATGCTCAAGTAGAATTCCAGGCTGTTCCTGTCAGGCTGGACTCAGCAAGCAGTGTTCATTGTGTACTAGTAATCTGGTAGACAGCCGACAGCTGAGAATGGATTTCCACGCTGCCATGGAGACCCTGGCTGAGGCTTGGGTGGCTGCCAATACACAGACAGCTCTCACTGCAGAACATCAGGTATAGTGTGCTAATTGTAACTTTATCACATCTAACACACTGTCAGACCTATCACATTGCTAAGACAGCTCTCACTGCAGAACACCAGGTATTGTATGGTATGGTATTGTGTGCATTATAACTTTATCACACATCACACAGTCAGACCTGTAAAAATGCTAATACACAGTCAGCTACCACTGAAATTATCTTAGACCTGCAAAATAGATCACCCAACACATTCCCCTAGACCCTCTTCCAGGCCAAATGCAGTCAACCCATTTCTAACAGGACATGGCGTATATATTTGTGATATTGTCTGTCTATTTAGTGGTCATCTCACCCTTGCTTTCTGGAATATAGATATTGTCTGTCTATTCTGTCCACTGACGCTAAATTCTATGACTGGGTTCCCATACTTAGATCGACCTAACTCCATAGAGGTTCACGCTAAATTGCTATCAGCTCAAGAGGCTTAAATGTCTGTCACACCTACCGAACCAGCTAGGTGTAAAGATAATTACCCCCTAACAGTTTTACTAGGCTGGACAGACGTTTAAGCCGGTTAGTTCGATAGCAAGTTAGTGAGACTCCCCAGGGAGATAGATTGATCCAAATATCTGTGGGAATGGTCCCTATGTCCATCTCATCATTGTTATCAAGTATATTGTATATATTTCATGGGTGATTTTATCTATCCATTCCAGGGCCCCAGACCCAGTGTGAATAACCTGCCCACCATGTTGCCCAGGGAACAGTTTCAGTGGGGACAGCAGCCTTCACCAGAGAGAGCAGTAGCCCAGCCCAGTACTTCCTCTGGGGGTAAGAGAGAGAGAGAGAGAGAGAATAGATGATTAAAAATTATGCATAAATGAATAAATGTGTACATGAATAAAATATGTATATTTTTCAATGATTGTATCTTCAAGAATATGTGATTGTAATAAATGTATGAATAGAGATGTAAGTCTGCCTTATTTATCCAACAAAATGGATATTTGGCTGTTGTATTTATGCCCATTGGACCTCCAATGTTAAGTTGTGTTCCATCAGTGCTTGCATTTTGAGGATTTTTAATAGCCCACTTTCATTTTTTGTAAAAAGAAAGAGAAATGAATGATTGAATGAACTTTGTGGAGTTTTTAAGGCACACTTTCATCTTTGGTATGAATGAAAAGGTGGATGGATGGAAGATGTATTTAACATGTATGCATATACAACATACTCAGACAATTAAAATAAAAAGCTATTAAAAGCATCAATTCCTGCCAATCCTTTGAAGGAATAAAAAAAAAGTTTTCGCAGTAGTTCACAAATTTTTATAAAAGTGTTGATATGATCCAAATGTAGCTTATAAACATAAAAAAAAAATCAAAATTTTATGTGTACTGATATTAACTATAGTAAAGGGAGCTGACAGATGTATTACTGAGATCAAAATTAAATGTTTCTAAAAGCTGTCTTTTTTCTGTGTAAACTCTGTGTCAAGTTATTTATTAAGATTATCAATAACAGTCTTTTAAAATCTAAAAAAAGAGAAACAATGTCTCACTTCAATTCTTTAAAGAAAAAAATCTCACCAGATTCAGTTATTCATAATCTTTTTCCACCAGATAGATATATTTAGAGCCCAGCTCTAATCTGAGCTTAAGCTAAGTCTCTGGGACACGGTCATACCCTTGATATTAATCTGACATTTGCGTCACTCCTTGGGATTTGTTTAATCCTACATCAAGTTAACGCTTGGATTATGACTGAAATTACGGGTTGGATTTTTATAGGAAAAAAAAAAAAAATATATATATATATATATATATATATATATATATATATATATATATATATATATATATATATATATATATATATATATATATATATATATATATATATATTTTTTTTTTTTTTTATATATATATTTAAAAAAAAAAATAAAAA